CATTATTCATCTTTGGATCATGCAGAAAACAGATCTCAAGTCTAGTTTCCTTTCTTACTGGAGCCACTCCAGTTATAAAATGTTCCCCTATAGTGTTCTTTGTTAACTTTGGCACCAGTGTGTTTTGTTAACAGGTGACATTAATGAACAGTGATTAGCTGGGGAAGAAACTGAGATAATAATGTGATGAGAAAAGGTTACCGCTAGATGATTAATGCAAGCAAAGTATCCAGTTACTGTCATGTTGATATAGATTAAGGTTGAATGGGGTTATAAAAGATAATGTGTTTTATTTTTTTTCTCACTGTAGCATGAACACGTTTAATTAAAGTTGCTTGCTGTGTCAAAATGTTACCGTAGCGACAAATTAGTATCTCACATTTTGTTTCATGTGCAACTATAGCTTTGATCACACTAACTCTAAAAAGTTAAGGTTGAGCGGCACGTGTGAACAAAACATATATAATCGATAAATAGATATAATCAGGAGAATTCACCTTGAGCAATAGGGAGGGGGGTGACATATATTCCCTGCAATCTGTGCACGGCCATAGACTGTTTGCACATGATTATTGTGGTCTCTGTGCACCTAATGAAACTGCTGCATTTGCTTTATGTTCACCAGTTTACTTGGCGCCACTGTTTTGTTCATAATGTGAACATGTGTAACTACAGGTAGCATTGACATAAGAGCAAATACTCCCATTATAGCACCAAATAGCAGACTGTACAACCAGATCAGGAGGCTTGCAGGGGCAGTTCTCCTGAAAGAGAACATTTGTGAAAACGAATTGTTCCTCTTTTTTTTTTTTTTTTTTAAATGGTTGGGATGCTATAAACAAGTTTTGACATTTTAAACACTCAGTAAGAAAGAAACAGGGAAGTTAATTTTGTACTCTGTGTAATCATGACCATATAAGGTCATTGTCATTTTTTCTCTTGTGAGTCAACGCTTCATAGGAAACACCAGTCATAGTGTGTCTATTATGGCTAATGACTTAGCAAGAATGTAGCATTAATCTGCTTTAGCACTCAACTGAACACATCCTCTCGGAAGTTGGACAGTCTCATCGATCTAAATTTATATTTTGGGAAATATGCATGAAGAACAAGCACATTTTGTTTGTCTCTAAAGTAAATATCAAACTGGAGTCAGAAATCAGCTTAGCTTAGCATGAAAGCAAGAATTGGGCAGTCCAGGCTATTTCCTCAGGTAACACAATCCACATATGCACCTCTAAAGCTCACTGCTCAATACATTTAGCCATCTATACAAACACAGAAGTGTAAAAATGACAATCCATGGAATAAAAGAGCTTATCTTGACACCTCTTTGGTTCTCCCTGTTGTTGCCTATTAATTAACACATGAAAAGGTTAATTGTCCTTAAAAAGTTAAAACTGAGCAATATTAATTTGATATTAAAGGGATACTTCACCCATTGAAACATGAATCTGTATTGACATTGGGTCATATATGTAGTAGAAATGTGAAATACATTTTGAAGTTGGTGCCTTCTTGGCCGAGAAAAGGCAGAAAGTGTCTTTTTGGCTCATGTTAATGAAAGACACCAAATCCCAGAATGCACAGCACCGCAGGCCACTCCCACTAAGGACCAAATCAGAATCAGAAATACTTTATTAATCCCAGAGGGAAATTCGATCGTTGCAGTTTCTCCAAAATATACAGTATAGCAGTAGAAATATAGTAATAAAAACATTTACAGACATATTTACTTCAACACATGAGGCCATTTCCTCAACGGATTCAGAGATTTCTTCCAGAATTGATCTTGGAAATTCCTGGCAGAAAACAGACTCTATGTCTGTGTCCATAGGCAAACAGTGAGAGCATATTCCTGAATCTATTTTCTATATTTAAGTTAATTTGTTAACTCTAAATGTTCTGAAGCGGAGTTTGTTGCCATTTGAGAGAACAGGGCTAGCTGTGCCCCCTCTTCTTCATGGTCTTTATGCTAGGCTAAGCTAACAGCTGGTAGTCCCACATTGGTATTTACATTATTGAGATAAATCAACTACAAAACTCTCTGCCAGGGAGTGAAATCATCTAAAAATGTCAAAATATTTATCCACTCAACTTTTAATGCCATGTTTCTCCTCTGTGACTATCAAGGCTATCAATCAAGTCATCATTTTTTGTTATTTGTTTTTCTGGTAATCTTAAACTCAAGTATCCATGGCAACCCTAAATGTTTGCTAGCTTGAGTGACTTTTTATTCCCACAGTGACTCATGCTTTATGGAAATACTTCACAGAGAAGAAGAGGAACTTAGAAAGTCCCCTTTGATTAAACATAGTACTTTGGAAAATACTTCCCTCATACTGTAAGGTGACAATGTTCCATTTCTTTGTAATTACAACAGAAAATACCAATATTTGCAAGCCAAGTAAGAAATGTTTCATATAGTGTGTAGTTGCAGAATACAGCCTGCGTCATATGAAAACTATGCTGAGATTATGTGATTAAATGTTGAAATAGCTCAAGATGACTCCATGCCTGGAATATGCAATTAGTTGCCCTTGTAAAAGCCAAAAGTTTACATGCCAACCAATGTCTTTAATGATTGCTGTTCTCGAGAGCAAGAGCAAATTCCTTATATAGACTTATTCTACCTTTCCTTGTCTTTCTGTCTGCCTGTTTTAGAACTGGGACCAAACATTTTACAGCACTGAATCACAGCTAAGGCTTGCCTCGGGCCCGGGGGGCACTGGTTTTATTAGCCGTCTATTTCTGGACACTTGTCAGATTCCACTACAGCAACCCTTTAGTCACTTTTCATTAGCGCTCACTTTTCAAGAGCTCACAGAGTGCACAATGTTTGGTTCACACTTTCTCATATGTCAGTGTGTGTTGGCAGAGCCCGCAGCTCGTGGTGATTTGTATTACCCTTTTTGAGACCAACGATTCCATGAGGCTTTTTGCAATGCTACTGGTTATGTCACAGTTCTTTTCTGCTGTCATGATTTTGTGATCAGTGATCCACAGTGAGCTCAGTGCTCTTTCCTGTAATTTGTTCTACTACAGACCTGAGTTGGATAAAGGGATGTATTGTTTGAGCTTTCCATCATAGGTGAGCTCTACTGAGAATAAGGTTTCTATACAGCAGATTGGAGCTATGTCCATTATAGTGCAGGGTCAACAGGGTATAAATGGAGAGTACAGTTTCCATAGAGGAAATGGGACATATATGAGGGTCAATGCAGTGTAAGTTCAAGGCAAGGTATGCTCAGAGGTAATGGAAGATACAATGCTGTTATGACAGTAAATATCAGTTGAGGACACTACAAAATATGAAATAAGTTTCCCTCTTCATGCATTTATCTACAAACTACTTCTCTTTTTTCAAGGTCACCACTTATGGAATAAAATCCAACAGCTTTTTCAGCTCAGTCTTGATGTCTATAATAGTTGAAATTTATTAAATGTAGAGGTTTTTTTTTAAATTACCCTGCAGGCATAAAAGTGTGTATTTGTGCATTAAGTAGTGAAACTGTGACTTCACCTTCCATAAACATCTGCAGAAGCAATCAAAAGCAGCCGATGGAACATGCAGTGAAATGGCTTTCATATAAACTGCAGTAAAGGAGGACTTCTATCAAGAAAAGTGCTGCTGCACTCCGGTCATTAATCAACACTTACTGCACTCCAGGTGACTGGACACCGTAGAGCCTCAGTAGCAGCTGTGACAGAGCTTCACTATAGCACCACACACTCCTCCTGTCAGGCAGCACCCTCTGTGTCAGTCCTGCATGTGTATGTGTGCGTGGGCGGTGGTTGCTATTTGTCTGAAATGGCTCAGACACACCTACAGACATGGTGAGGCTCGTCTCATCAATTTTCATGTCACCGTGCCCCATAGCTATGAAAAAACACATTGCATGTTCAGCCAGTCACATTGCTATAAAGTGTGTTTGTTGAGATTGTTCGGACAGATTCCACTCCATGTAGCTGCAGAAGATCATTAGAAAGTATCAGTTTTGATCTCATTTCAGTTCAGATGGAGTTTTTTTTTACTTGGCCGAACATGAATCATTATTTTAAATATTTTCTCCTCGACAAAGAGCATCTACAGAGAAATTATTCATTCTTTATTGTTTTAAAGTGCTGAATAGCTGCATTGAAAGAATTGCTCTGTAAAAATTGAAGACAAATATAAACTTAAAGAAACTTGATAATGGTTTAATATAGTGATTATACAAGCCCTGTATTGACCACCCTTTAAATACATGCACAAGGCCTTTTGTACTATCTGTTTACAAGTATGCATCATACGGTTTGTAAGTACAGGAACAGGATTCGAGTCAGTGCACTCACCCTTTTAGTGCAGAGTAAATAGACTGAGACTCAGTGTCAGAAGAACACTTTTTTCCTCTTTTTGTCCTTCTTGAATAAAAATCCTCTTTTGCATGACTGAACTGAAAGGGTATTGACCACAACGCCACAGGCATGGTAAGAGTGTTTGTGTGTGTGAATATGTGTGCACCACACATAACCTCCCTCTTTCATATCCCAACTCTCACCTGATGGTACAGTACCTACTACACATGTTCACAGCTTTCATTTCCTCTTTTTGTTGCCATTTTAGGACACTGAGATGGGTGGAGTTCTGTTTCTTTCTGATGTTATTCTGCAAAATGAAACTGCCGTAAGAATGTGTGGTGGAGAGCCTTTCCTTTTACATCTTAAGGTTCTTTCAATAAATGTTCAGTTTGCCTAACCTTCCCAGCCTGTCTGACATCATTCAGCGCATGTGTGAGTGAAGCAAAGAAACCTCACGATTCCACCTCTCTGCGAAGGAAACACACAAGCACAGACAGAGGTCCCATTCTTACACAAAATGGGCAGGGTTCAGTGACGTGACCAAAACACACACACACACACACACACACACACACACACACACACACACACACACACACACACACACACACACACACACAGACATTCAGAAGAGAGAGCGAGAGAAGAGAGAGAGAGAGAGAGCGAGAGAAAGAGAGAGAGAGAGAGAGTAGAGGGCAGAGAGGGAGACAGGAACAGAAAGTGAAGACATGTCAAGATGTCTGGGTGAGGGGGACCAGAACAGAGTAGAAGCCATATGCCAAAACAGAAGGAGCAGAAGTTTGAGCAGCTGACTGGATCAGACAGGAGGGGAGATCTGACCTGACACTTCACACGTGCCTACAGGGTAAGGTGTTGCTTTTCAAAGAGATCTAAAGAGCCGGCAACTTCAAATACTTTGAAACTGTTTAAGAAGTGGTTTATACTAGCTGTTGGAGCTTTGTTGTTTTTTTGATTGGGGAAAAAACAACGGCAAAACTACTGCTGCCTCTTTGGCCAAAAGAAAATCTTAATGATGTTCAGGCATTGGTTAGATTTGACAGGATGTTTGACAATTTGCAACAATATACTGACAAGTTTCTTCCTGCCCGTTTGAGCGCAGCCAAGCGTCACTGTTACATTCCCCTTAAGATATTTTGTTGACTTTTCCAACAGCAAAAGTATCAAAAAATCTTAGTCTTTTGAAAGTGAAAATGTATTTTATTTGTACACATGATGAATCTGCAACATTGAATAGCCCCTGTTGCTATTTTCTTTGGCTCTTTAAAGAACAGTTATGGATGCTGGTTTTAGTTTCACAAAAATATTTCCCTCTTCCTGCTCATACAGTAAATATGGCATCCATTTTGCATATTTATTTGAGGTGGAATTAAGTGGAACAAATTCTGAACTGTCTTGGCTTGTGCTTGTTCCCGCTCAATGTGAAGAACTCAATGACTCCAGACTATCAGTAGGGCCAAATTATCTAAGTTTAGATAAGATGGATCATATTTTCACTGAAAAATAACAAACAACTTTGGCTAAAATTGTTTGTCGGTGGCTGACTCAAGTCAAACTGTCCATGTACTGAGTATCAGTACCAATAGATGAGGGATCTGTTCTGACCGTGTGCTCGGGGCAACTCATTAAAGATTCCTGCCTTGCCTTCTGTCACAACTTTGTCTTTTAGGTCACACATGTTCCTTAAAAAGCAGAAGGGGCTAACTGAGTGTAATCATAACATTTTTTTCTCAGCCCCTTCCTGGCTTTGTATGCCCCATAAACGACCTTTTCCTGTATGTGAATGGCTGCAGGAGAGCACAATGCCATGAGAAAGGGAAGGACCTGGCCAGAGACTCAGAAAGGCATCTCAGTGAGATGATATGAACCAGTGAAATATTTGATATATATTAAGAGTCCATATTTTGTATAAACAGGGCTGAATTCTCTTGACCTCTTTTTCCTTTACTGAATCACAAAATATTGGATTAACATTGATTTAAAGTAATGCAAATGGTCTGCAGAGAGGGAGACATGTAAGTGTATCACTTACTAGGGTGGAAAATAATCAGTTCTAATAAAAAACCTATTTCTATCTTGACTATGAACTTTAACATTTTCCCTGCTGGTGAGTGTAAACGCTGACGACAGTGTCAAGAAACTTCCTACGATGATCTCATTCTTCCTGGGACTGTAATATTAATAACACTAAGTGACTTCTCTATTCCATTTAATGACTTTGCTGCTGATACATTAGTAGTCATCTCCTCACACCTCTGTGCTGCTCTCGGGCCTTTGTCTCTCTCCAGCAGACTTATTGCTCTGTGACTCTGGTTTGTTGTATCAATGCTGTTTTCATAATGTTAGGAAGCTCAGAGTGTACACAAAGGTGTTGCTCGGCCAAGCTCATCACAACAACATGTACCGACAGCATAATCCAGAATAATGTGACACAGACATTGTGATTCCTAACAATGTGCAAAGGCTTCAGTGCAGCATGTTGTTTTCATACAAAAATGTTTTGAAGCTTGACGCACAAACACATCAGTAAATTCAGTAATTCCTTGTTTCAGCCTTTGTGATATTAAATCACATGCTTATAGACATCATGATTTATTTTCCAAGTTTGTCTTGATGATTTATTTTTATATTTTCATTTTTTGATTCACAAAAAAGTTTTAATTTCTACAAAAAAAAAAACATTTTGGCAATACATAAACTATAAACATAAACTAAGTGTTCTGTTGACTGTTCTTGACAATGCAATTAAAAAAGTAAAACAAAAAATAAAGACACATAAGCTCCACAAACACAGAAACACAAAAATCATGAGATTTTTGAAAACTATTTTTACACTTTTCTGTTGCTTATTTTGCAGAGACGTTCTAAAGCTGTAGTTTGATTGTTGTTTAATTGTATGTAATGATACATCCCAATACAAATACAAATATGGACAATTTAAATCGATTTGACACAAATAATGAACGTAATTTAGTAAGATAATATGTGCGTCACTTTTTATTAGGAAAAATGTGCAATTTTATATTACTAACAATTCCACTTGAAAATTAAGAACACATCTTGTGAAATTCTAAAGATGAATAAGGAGAAGGGATACTTTTTTATTGTCACAGAATTTAAATTTAAATATTTATTCTGAAGTGACTTCAAGAAATTACAAACACATGCAGACTGAGTCTATGCTAGGCACATTGAGTCTATATGCTAAGAACATTGAGTCTATGCTTGGCACATTGAGTCTATATGCTAAGAACATTGAGTCTATGCTTGGCACATTGAGTCTATATGCTAAGAACATTGAGTCTATGCTTGGCACATGGGGTGCGTTCGAATTGTCATTTTTGCTTAGGAAGGTTCCTAACTGAGTGAAATGACCCAGAAGCATTTAAGTGGCGGCCATGATAAGAGCTGTTTGAATTCTCTAAAAGCTAAGGAAAGGTGGGTCAATGTTTCCTTTATAACCTCCTTTAGCATAGGATACACTGGGCCATCCTTTACCAAAGGAGATGAGATATGCCGCCCCACAATTCCTTTCGGCCGCAACATTTAAAACGAGTCGCGCATCGTAAATTGACACAGATCATGCAAGGGATAAAAAGATAAGAGACATTTTTAGCCAAAGAAGTTACTTTTACAGTTCTGTTAAGCCAGGCAAAGAATAACATTGTGAAACCAAAAATACAAATAGCAACATCAAGTGTGTTGATTATTTAGATTGTTGAGATTCTTAATACTCATCTCACACTTTCACGTTTCTGCTGACAGTTCACAGAGCTCAGCTTCCTGTTGAGCAAACGAACAGGAGGGAAGTTAGCAGGCCTGTGTGGTAAGCCGTTTTAACACATGTAATGCAAAGCTCAGAGGCAGCCACGTCAAGTCTACCTGCAGGTGCACCCCTCCATTCCCTCTCGCTCTGACAAAGACACAACACAAGTGAGATCTTTCTCTCTTTTGCATCTAGCATACAGAGGAACTAAGTAGCTTTGCGTTACACATATTGTTTGGTATGCCAAATAGTGCTAGAAGCCATGAACAAAACATTGTCATTTCACACCAGTTAGATAAAGTTTTTGCCTCAAGGCCTCCAACTAAATTAATTAAGAAAATACACATTTTTTCTGGCTTTTATTTTTGAAGACTGACCTCTCATAATCAGACCATTTATAAAAATTGAAACACCTCACACCAAGTTTTCTTCTCCAGGAGAGCTATAAGAGGAGATTTCATCTCAGGCCAGAGTTAAGTGTTACAATCAGACATTTCTGAAAAGTTGAGCCGGGTCCCATCCGTCTCCTCCAATGGGATCCATTAGGCGAATATATTCAGATGAATCTCCAGCAGCAGGTCTACCTCTCACCTCTTATCCCTGTCGCTCTGTCACACTCTCCGTCTCTGCGGGACTCTTAGAAAGATTGGTGCCCTCTATCTCTGTCTGGCCTTTCCTCAGACACTATCTCCCTCAATTCCCTCTCTCTCTCCCTTTTCGCCCCTGTCTTCCTCAGCGGGGCTCGAAGCGAGAGCTGCCCTGAATCCTGAATGACTCCTCTGCAGTAATGAGGAGAAGGCTGAAAATCTGAAACTGACATTGACAAGAGGAGGAGGAGGGCAGGAGTAGAGATGTTAAAGACAGAGACAGAAAGATGGATTGGAGGCAGGGAAGGAAAAGCGGGCGGATGTAGACGAGCTGTCTGCAAGAAACCAAATTTCTGTCTTTGTTCATTTCCTCTTTTTTTTTCTTTTAGTTCCGCAGAATCGTCTGAATTGGACCACCTCTCTGCAACTAAGACAAAAGCCAAAGGGCAGGAGGATAAAAGGATTCTGGAGAAGACGACAAAGAGCAAGAAAACACTTTGGTGAGGGCCAAGCAGCATAAACAAACTTCACTTTTTTGTCCTGTAGCCATATTAGAAACATCACAACTTGGAGATTTCACAATAAACCGAGCTGTAAACACAATGAGCTTTTGGTCTTTTGGATTTGTTTAAAGAACCCTTTGGCTTTGAAAACAACCTTGAGGGACACTTAAAGGAAAGAGGCTTCCTCCATGTTTACAGTGTTACTTTTAAACATCAACACAGGATAACATGGGCCTATTAGGTACGTAGAGACACAGGCATCAAAACTGGCTTGTGAAAGTTCAAGTCACCAGAAATAGCTCATCTGACAGCCGTTGGATTTGTTGATGAAGTTCAAAGCTGGATTCTGATGACATACAAGGACTTTTATCTTAATTGAACACCGTATCTTAATCATCTTGGTGTCTCCAGCAGCCTCATATGCACATTTACTGGCTTTCAAACTTCAAAAACTCTCTAAAGGATTTATTAAAACTTTACAACCACCAGACAGACTCAATTAAAAGGAGCCACCACTCTGTATCTGAACGCCATGGACGGAAAAACTGACAGCATCCAGGATTTTTTCAACCAACTGTGGAGCTTCGCCACAGAAAAACACAACCAGGGCGTCTACAACACGGTGTGCCTGATCGTCCTCCTCGCTCTCCCCCTGCTCGTCCTCCTAACTACTCTGGTGGTGTGCTGTCACTGCTGCTGCTGTCGCTATGCCAACAGATGCTGTTGCTGCTGCTGCAGGGACACCATGGCAACGGCAAGGTCAGAAACAAAGAAGAAGAAGAACTCGACAAATAATACTGAAGACCTGTGGATCTCTGTTAAGACGGAGCCTATGACACCTGACAGGGTAGCTCTGGCCATGGTGTAGAAAGGATGCCTTTGCTGTTTGTTTGGGATTGCTGATCCTGGGTCAGTTGGGCAGAGGATGTGATGGAGAGTTTCAAAGATCTAAAACTATTTTGGAATCTAAGGAGGCTAAAGAACTTATTTTAGCTGATGGACTGCATACTGGGACTTGTGAATAACAGGTCAACAACATGTAAACAATGTACAGAATCTTGTCACTTTTGTATTCATATGGTGTCTTTATGGACAATGTTTACAACATTTTGTATACGTTTTTTAATGTGTGGTACATAAAGGGAGTATTATGCTAAAAGAGGCATAGACATACCTGTAAATGTGTGTGTGTGTGTGTGTGTGTGTGTGTGTGTCGCGTGAGGGGCATTAGGAAGGTGTGTGTGTGTTAGAGAGAGAGAGAAAGTACAGTGTTATTGAGAGCACTTTGTTCTTACAGCTCCCATGTGAAATCCACATGGTCTGTATTTGGGAAAAAGAGCCAATTTAAGTCGAGCCCAGCGTTCAGACGTCGCTGTAATGGTGTCTACTCTTCACACTCTAGGCTGCTGATTGACTCTCACTTTGTAAAGTTAAAGCCTCTAACTTCTGAAAAGTTTCACTTATAGGACACAGAGAGAAACCTTTCTGCTCTTACTCTGCTTTTTTAGTATTAGAAGTGTTAGCCACAGGAGAGGAACTTCACTTAGTTTTGAATATATGAGAGCGTTTTACCATTCAGGGGTATAATGACCTTTAAAGGCAAAATTCTAATTCCATAAAGGGGAAATAGAGTTTGATGTTACTTCTTAATAAAATGACAGATCTAAACAAAATTATAGAACAATCATATTAAAGTTTGTTCCTTTATCTAGGTCAGTTTTTATGAAATCTTTTGATATGAGTACATTTTGTGCACTTTCTTCAAATGCTCCAATGAAGTCTGACAACTTTAAGAGGTGACCATTTATTTCTGCAACACAACAGACAAGGATGTTTTTGAGGCGTCATTTAGAATATATTTGGTGAGACGGTTGTAGCCTATTGTTTTGTATCTGTGTTTGCATTTATCAGGGATGCAAACAGCACAAATGACGCTGGCACTGATTATGTTTGCAGTCACTTCTGTTTTCTTCATTATGTGCATGTCAACAAATAACATCAGCAGAGTTTTGGTTAGTTTTTGATTCCATTTTAAGCAATTTCCCATAATTTCATCACATGTACTGACATAAGGTTATTGTGGTTAATTGTTAATACCACATGTATGGAACGATCTAGATGATTAGAAATAAAAACATTTAATTCATACTTTTTTTGTCAAAAAAGCACTGAGAATTATAAAGATTTATTTAAACAAATACTGAGCAACGCTGATATCAAGTTCTTTTATTTTTTTATCTCATGAGTTGTTATTTTTGTTCTTGCTGTTTTTACCGCAATAAGTCCCTGAGGTGATGTTCCTGTAAGTGTAATTCTCAGTATCAGTAATGCTGGTCTGGAATTGTGAAGAAGCCTTTCAATGACATTCAAAATACATTCATGAATTAATGTAGTCACATAAATAAGGTTTAAAGAAAGCAGATTTGAAATCATTTAAATTAAAAAAAAAAACCTGTTTTATCATGTTCAAGAAGGAATGTGTTGTGCTTCAAGTGGATTGAGTCTGATTGCTGTTTTTTTTTATTTCTAAGTATATGACATCCCAAAGGCCAATTAAGCAGAAGTGTCTCAGTAGTGTATTCATCTTTATGCATTAGCTTACACTGGCACTAAGTTGAGCAAGCTCAAGTGCTGCTGGGAAAACAGGCCCTGCTCATTTCATTACAGTGCAGACAGATGCATTCCCATGTGGACATTTGTGCTTGTCTCCTCTGTTTCATGTTCAAAGAAAGAGAAACTCAACTTGTTGGGCTTAATTTGAAAGCTTACCCTGCAAGATAAGAATCTCTGCTGCTATGCATGATGACTAATAAGTGCTATTGCCTAAACTGAGAGGGTGCCAAGAAATAACATCTCTCGAGTCCCAGGGCTGGCTGAACATGTCCTGTGGTTTGTTTTTTTATTTGTAGGGGAGTTTTTTTGTGAATTTGTTTACTGGAAGGATAACCCACACTTGTTCTGAGGATAAGTCTAAAAATAAAAATTGAAATCTGAATGGAAAGTGAAGACAGACATAAACGCGAATTAGCTTAGCTTAGCACAAAAAATGGAGACGGGGCAACTGCACAGACATTGTCAATGTAAAAATAAAACACGTGCTTTTCATTTAAAAGTAAAATAATAATAAGAAGGCTTAATAAATAAATTGACCTTTTATAGTGTTGTCAGGTTATTTATTGACTATGGACCAGGAAGAAGACTCCAGGATGTAATCTTAGACATAACCTCTCCTGCAAACTGTCATGTTAATGATTGATGAACGCATTACAATTTAAGCATTATGGGTGTTAACTATAAATTGAATATTGACAAACCAGGCAAGTTTTTTCCCTTGTTTGCAGTATTTATGCTAGGCTAAGCTAGCTTGTGGCAGGTTTATTGTCAACCTGGTGTCAGAGAAATATGTGACATGCTTACAGCTTCTTCACACCACATTACATAGCTTAGGGAAGGAGGTACATGTGTGAAGTATGAGCTTGTGATTTATTAACACAGCCAATGAAAAGTCAATTATCATCTACTGTTGTGCTATACACACCAATATTCTAGAAAGTCAGGTGACAAAGTATAAAGAGGGATACTGAGAGGTTGAAAAAAAGAATTGTAACACAAGGGATTTCAAATGACCCGCGTTTGACCAAAAGTTAACGTTGGTTTATTTATGTCTGTCACATAGGTAACTTATGTCAAGTACCTTACATAAGTAGCTTTACTGATGTTGGTTCTTATTTTAACTCAAACGACAATCTTTTTATCATCTGCCTAACTGGTTTTTCTGCTTCCACCTAACCAAACTGTGTCCTTTTCACATCTTTGGCCACAATGCTTTTTTGCACTTGCAAGTACTTTCAATACACATTATTACCCACGACAACCATATCGCAGGGTTAAGAGGTCGTGGTCATTTCCTGTATTTCTGGGAAACTGTGTTGTAGCTGTATACTTTGAGTACAGTTTTTTTTATTTTAACTCGAGTAAAAATTAGTTTATAAAAGTATTTAGAAAATGAACTTCCCAACCTGATCTGTTGAATGGCTTGTTCTCATGTTGTCGCAAATATACAAATGATAGGATTATATACTAATGATAAATAAAGTCTATCAGATGGTTAAAATAGTTATTTGGAGTATTTGCAAAAGTAGAAATCTACTTGTGAGTTAAGCAGTTAAAAAGACATATAAAGACAGGCAGGAAATCAGCATCACACTTTGTTTTATTACAGCCAAGCTCTATAAATACGAAATGATACTGAGGTGTCAACCTCAACAATGAGATCACTTGGTTTCTGGTAACACATTCCCCTGTCCACACTATTCTTTTTAACACCTGTTAAGCTGTGTTTGTGATCTTCTCTCTGTGTTCCTACTTCTCTCCCTTTGAACAGATGATGATTTATTTTCCAGCGAGTTTGTCAATCAACATGTGTCAAAAGGTGGGGTATATGATCTTCTCCTTTCTCCTTTATTGTGATCAGAGGAAACAGAGCTCTAAGGATTTGTCGTGTGTTTAACTACAAATCTCCCTTCTTAGATACTTTTCTTTACGACAGCAGCATGTTTTTGATCCCATCCAATTATGCCTGACATAGTTTGTTTAGGTTTTTTTGTTGTTGTTTCACAGTTGAAAAATGCAAAGGTGTTTTTTTATCATTATGAGCCTGGCTGGCTTTGTTGGTAGCTCTGTATGCATAATTTATTCTGACATCTGTGGAAACATGATAAAGGACAGCACAATGTGGAGGTTGACAGGAAGAAATATGAAGTATTTTTACAAGCATTGCGGAATCTCGTTTTTTTTATTTTTCAATATAAAGTGAGTTAACAGACCCTTTACATCTTGACATAAAGTCATCATCTCTATGTCTTACCATGTCAATATTAAACGAGCCTCTTCTTACAACGTGGCTGCTCAAACATAGAAATATGCTCACAAATTCAATATTTACATCCTTCTATATTCTGGAACCCTGATAAAATGTTTGAGACAACATGACTTGAAATAATTTACTTTAAAATTAAGAAAGAAAAAAACCCCAAAGAGCTATATTTAAAGTGCATTTCAATAAAGCATGGCATCTGTTTTGCATGGTTTCAAACTGCAACTGACATCAACATGATCTGCAATAAATTATGGAAATATGTTTATAAAAGGGGTTGGAAGGAAATTACTTTTGCTATACACTTTGTAAATATTTAACAAACCTGAAAGCTGCTAAGTTAGAGCATTTGATAAACCTTGCTGCCTCTGGTGATCTTCATGAACATGTAATTTTCATCATTGGTTTGATGGCCGTAGCCGAGCAGTCTTTGATGCAAGTAATCAGTTTGGCTTCAGGAACGGTTCATCTTTTACAAAACATGAGGCTCAGACATGCACTCTGGGAAATTTGTTCCGTCTCACAAAAGTTGTTTCTTAACCTGCGGTGGATGTTCACTGTTGTCAAAGTATTAGCATAACTTACTTATCCGAATAAAAACAACACATTTGTTTATGTCTCTCTTTTAGGCTGGAGGTGACTTTGAGACAGATCTTTCATAACTTTCTCTTCTTTTGAGTATATGTGGAGTGGAAAAAAAGTGTATCCAACACCCTGAAAAAAAGGTTTTCATCACTGGAGTGCAGAGCCAAGATGTGACGAAACGTAAACAACACTGAATGTGTTGACAGGATTTTTATAGTTTACTTCCTCTCGCTGAATGAAAGTGGTGTCACTGTACTCTGTGACACCTCCTGTACACAAGAGTCACATTCAAGTAACCTTTTAGCTCTTTATACCCCCAAAGTTTAAGCTCTTTTTCATCACCATAGTTTTAATTTATCTATAGATAATTTTAAAAACATAGGTGTCCTGAAGCACCTAAAAAGCAACGTCTTCTAGTTTAACTTCAGTAAAGGGGACCTTTGTCACATGTCATGCCCCTCTTCATCTCCTGTCATGTCCAATAAAGTCAGAGACAACACAACAAATGTACTGCAACATAATTATATTTCAAAAGCTTTCCAAAGACTTGCTAGGACAGACCACCAGGAGGCCCCTGTTTTAGATAGCTTTACTGAATGCTCAAGATTTTGTAGCATTAACTTGCTATGAGTCAGAGACAAGTTTGAGCTCTTGTATCAGAGAGACAGTTATTATTTGTAAAAAAAAAAAAGAAAGTCAAATCAGACTTCTCTTCTCTTCCACCTCTCTCTGTCCGGTCAGAACGTCTCTCTTTCCATGAACTGCTCACAATCCACCCCCTCAAACAACCACTCCCTTGTTAGAACATTACCAGCTTCCCTCGTGGAAAAAATACATCACACAGGTCCCAAGGCATAAATGCGTCAACCTGAGTGACAAGGGGCAGCCCGATGTGTATGTCTGCAAGTCTGTACTGTATATAACTGTATAAAACAAAACAAGGGAGAGAGGCAGAAAGAAAATGGGAGGGAAACGGCAGACTGTTCTCTGCTCTCTGTTTATCCTGGCACAAAGCTAACCACTCACCTCTCAGAGAAATTGCAGGAACCAATCTCCTTAAAGTAATTTGCAATCACTGTGGCTGAAAAAGCCTTTCGCATCAATGAGCTTTCATGAGACATTTCATTTCAATGTTGAGAAAAAATATATACTTTACTTGACAGATTTGCTGCCAAATCTTATGCAGTATGGAGCCTTCTGACACCCTTATTTGATTTTGATAAATAAACAACCAAACTATGTTTTCTTTTCACTGCCTCATTTAACCTTTAATAAATGAATCCAAATCCTGAAGCGTCGCAATTTTATCCTCATAGATTGCATCGTATATGTATATTTAGAGTTTGAACGATGGGAACAGTTTCTGCCCAGACAGCAAGTGAGCTGTTGCAGTCTGCAGATTATGAGATACAGAATTGGGAAGCTGTTATTATGAAACCAGACATCCATCCCTGTGAGTATAGTTGCTCAATTCAGTGTGATGAAAGTGTTATAGTGTTGAAACTCTGAAGCTCTACGCAGAGACAATCAACTGAGTGTTAGCACTGATGGCACCGTTTTATTGTAAAGTGTCACCCAAGTTTCATGACTGATTCATACTGAAAACTGAAAATACAATCTAAGCTCACTCTATCTGCTGAGGGACACAGGGATGTTGTTGGAAAAGCTGATAAGTTGATTACTTTGTCAAATAATCGCAGTCATTTCGCATTATGGGGAGACTTTGAGAAGGAAATCATTCACCTACTGATTGTTGTTGACATCTTGTGTTTGTTGATGGTCTGAGTGATGGCAGAGTCCGTTTATTACACTGATTGTGTATAAAGATGGAGGGTGAGTCTCATTGTGAAGCCAAATGTCAAGATATCCGGCTAGTGACGTCAGTGAACTCTGCAGGAGCCACATTGGTCTGCAGAGCTGTCAATTATGACTTCCCCCTTTTTTTAAAGGTTGATGTGCTTTATTGAACATGGTTAATAATTCTGAGCCAAGAGTTATTTTAAAACGAGTCAACATATTGATGCACATAAGTTCTCATTATCTGGTTTTACTAAAAACTATATTTTCTCCTCCTGATAACAGAGATTCAAGACGTAAGAATGGTTGACTCAATCATTTTGACCAAACTGCACTCTGTAGTTAAAGGAGCTATATGTAATTTTCAAAAATATAGTGTTTGTAGTGCCACCACAGGCCGTTAGGCGAACTGCACCGGTAACCTGTTGCTCACTCTCGCTGGCGAAACACTGGATATTTACCGGCATAATGCTTACAGTGGAGGTAAGTGGACATACACATGTGAAAGTCGGTGAAGGAGTCTGTGTTGTGCTAGAGGTCGGTCGTTTATTTGTACTAACTGATTCTATATTAGATTCATTCTCCATCCTACAAACGACAGTCTCGACAGGCACTACTGTTGATCTCTCTAAGCGGAGCGGAGTGAGGAGGACATCCAGAACGTGTATATAACTTCACTTCCTGGAGCTTTCGTGGAAAAAGTTATATATAGGACCTTTAAGCTGTTGTTCAGCAGTGCAATTA